GTGCGCACTGCATGAGTGAGTGATATAAGGTGAGAGTGGATGAAACAAAGACATCTTGGTGGGTGGTTGAGCTGTAGAGTCATTTTCGGCGTAAATAAGGATGAGATGAAGAACATTACCCCACCGGTACCTCCTACTTCACATGAGTGCAGCCTAACCTATTGCCACGTGACCTCACTGCACGTACAAGCCGCAGCACGGAGAATGCATTCATCTCCACGGCTAAATGGCTGTCTGCCTCTGTGATGTGGAAAATAGAGGAATTCAGCATGAGGTGAATAATTGCTTGGTCCTGAGCGTGTGACGTGGAGTGTCAAGGTGGGGTGAGATGACAACGCATTTGCATCCATTACACCTGAGATGGAGCCCGAGGATGTCTTTGTGCCAAAAAGTATACTAGACAAAGCTCAGGACCTTTGTTTCATGATACCACAGCATGCAGTATCAGTATTGATCCAGTTTTGTTTCCCCATATTTAAAATTTTGATTCGCTCCAGTTACTAAAAAGGAAGAAAAAAAACATGATGTTTACTCGGATACATCCAAACTACCGTTTGGTATTCACCCATGTATGTCATTTCAGTTCTTGAAGTCGGCAGATATTAGACGTCTCTGAATTTTGAGTTGAGTTTTCAAAGATATTTCTTATTTTGTGGAGCAGCATATATATGTTCTTTATTTTATTTATCATAAAGCATCATGAATGAACCATTCAAGCTAAGATAAATATTCCCTTTAAAACATTTGCTCACATAGAAATAGTGAAAAGTTGACTGCTTGAAGTTGCTTGGGCATTACCGCAGAGCCAGCTTCAAAGCTTCACAGAGGCAAAAACCAAATGATGATAATAATATTAATAGGTAACATTTTATAATATGGGCCGTGACTAAGGGAGCAATTGCCCTGTAATTAAAATAAATTTAAGTACATTTTTATTGAAATTACAATGTAGTTATACTTTCATAATACAAATCTATTTGAATATGTTTATTTATATATCTACAAATACTTAAAGGTAAGCATACTAGAATAAGGAGTATTGAGTCAGGTTTTTACTGAAATAATTATACTGTAAGTAAACTGAAGTATATGTAAGTAATTTTACATAGTGCATGAGTAAATTTAAGTATTGCATAACATCAGGTATTTTAAAGAAAAGGAGACACAGATTATTCTGTAAGTAGGTACTTTGTTGTAAGTACTATCTAAGTAACTTTAAGTTGTGCATATGTAATGTATTTTACAGGAAAGAAGAAATAATTACATTGTAAGTTAATTTAATTAGTGTATAAGTACCATTAAATAATAACTATTGCTATAAATATCACTACTAATATTGGTATTAGTAAGCGTAACCCAGCAGTCTGATCCTGCAGTTTTAGAAGGTTAAATCCAAAGGATAAGTATTTTTGAATATAAATTTCTATAATATATACATGTTCTCTCAGTGTTCTCTCTGTTTACTTCAGCTTCCTCCCACAGTCCAAAGACATCCACGGAGTTAATTGGCAGAATAGAATGGCTTTACTATTAATATGAATAATGATCTATGGAAACCCAAAATACAATTCATTAATTCCTTCCTAATTCACTAAAATTCACTAAAAATGTGCAGATGAGCCCTTTTGCAAATTAAATACCAGCTTAATGTGGTGAAAATCTTCTATATTAACCTCTGCAAAGTGTTTTTTTTTCTGTCACTACTGTAATCCCAAGTGCTAAAGCATTACCATCACTTGAATTATAGATGCACTGATGCATTGAGTTTCAAACCAAATCCCAATGTGTGTTTGTTTCATTGTTCCAAATAAAATATGATAAGCGCTTAACGACAGACAATTCAGATCTTGATTACAAACAAAATTTAATTAAATGTTCATTGGCCCAAGACTCACTGGTCCCCAGAATATGATAAGATTGAACGTTTACGTGCTTGACATATCTGTCAGACAAGCAGGAACGGCAACAAGTGATGAATGACGTAAATATCATAATGTGAGGCTTCTGGTGTGTCGACTTTGTGTTTAGCTGGGACTTCACACCTCTCTCAGGCTGTTGTATCCACCATAGGAGATCCATGCCTGTTAACCTGTGACTTCTTTATGCATCGTCACGGCGCCATTTGATGCTCACACTGTACAGGAAAGGTATTCCTCTGTGGTGCCTCAAGGCAGCCTCCGAGCCTTTGAAATTGCTTTTCAAACATTTTGTTTTTGGGCTTTGACAGGACATATCTCTACTATTCATAACTCGCACAGCATTCCAGCAGCCAGCCGAGACTTCTCTAAATGAAGTAAAAGGCCTCTGTGACATCCAGCATTTTTTCTTTTTTCCTGAAAAGCGTCTATCATTTCCCAGCTACTCCTGTCTTTTTGACTCTGAGACCTGGGCAGCTCTCAGAGGAGCGAAGTGGTGGAAAGGCAGGGTTGCAATCCGTCTAAGTAGACCTTATAATTTCTGAGTGCTCAGATCAGTTGGAGTTTTCAGATTTCTCCAGCTTCCCATCTATGAAACAGAACTCAGATTTTGTGTGTGTGCGTGTGTATATTTTGTATTTTTTAGGCACATGTAATATACACATAAACCCAACAAATTTTCAAATAATAACTTGAGGATAGTGGGTTAATGTACAGGTAATCCCAAAAATCGAAAATCTAGGCTAACTGAGTGGAATAAAATATCTCAAAGAGAAAAGAAATCTGATTTTGGTCTACTCCAACCCATGTGCCACACAGTTGTCAGTCAAAGATGCTTCACTTGTGTTGAGAGACAGCTGTGAGGAGTGTCAAGCATGAAATAAGCTGAGGAAGAAGGGGCTGATCAGTGTGTAGGAATATAAGAAGGGTGAGGTGGGATCGAAGCTGTTAGTCCTGTCATTTCTCAGTAGATTATAGCCTAAGGTCTCAAGCATGAGCTGAATGATGATGACTTATTATTCTATGTGCCCTACTAATGAGTGGCTCCCGGCGGAGCACCTCGTGGTGAAAACCATCCAGGGCATGCCAGGGGGATTATGGGGAGGGGATGAGGGGTAAAACCAGCATGCGCACTTAGACTTCTGATTTCATTTTGTGACTCTGGCGATTCTGTGTACAGCTGAACTATGCTGAGTCTAGGCTGACCCAGCTGGAAGGATGTCATTGCGAGAGGACCTGCAGTGCCAACGGTCTGGTCTACCGGGATAAGGAGCTGTGGGTAGAACCTGAGAACTGCAGGAACTGTGCATGCAAGGTGAGTGCCAACCTCATCCTCAAAGACTGAGACCTTGGCTTTTGGTTATCTACTTTCAATTATCACACTCTAAAAACCTCCTTATCAAACACTTTAATCTCACACTGGTGACACATAATAGTGCAGCAGCATCTTACGGTCCTTTTTCTCTCTTTAATGCAGTCTTTCCAGCCACCATACCTGCCACTTAGCTCTCTTAACTTGCCTTCCCATCAGACCTCCTATTCACCCAGCCCGAGCATCATCTCTCTCTGCCTCCTGCCCGCCTCCTAATAAGTGCCCCCTAATCAGCCTGACTGCCTGCACTCATACATAGGAGCAAGATTTTAAAATGCAGTGAATCAGGCCATCGCTGGCCTGGGAGAATTAGACTTGGTGCATCATTGCACATCAAGCACAGGGTGAAGTTTTGTCAGTCTGGTTTCCTCCCATGGACATGCCATTAACTGATAACCAGGGTGTCCCAGGGAATCATTTCAGATGACTCTTGAAATGAAGAGGCGATGGCAGAGAGAGAGGTATCAGTCTCAAAAATTAAGACAGTCCTTCAGGACCTCGACTGTCATCAGGCTACCCTCATTCAGTCTCTACTGTGTGAATAATCTGTTTTCAGATTACATGGCGTCATCGTTTGTTCATTATTCTTAAATAGCACAGCTGTCAGTTTAAGAGTAGTTCTAAATATAATGTTATGAATAGTTTAGCTGGTTTATATGACACTTGGAAGGAAAACTTTGCTGCTTTTGCTGTGTGTATGAACACGTCGCGAAGAGCTCTTTAAACCTTAGCTAAGGTTAAAAAGGTGCTCTATAGGTGCAAATAAGGTGTAATCAACAACTTTCAACTACTGCAAACCTTAGTGGATAAAAACATGTATCACACTATATGTGTTACAGATTTAGTGGTAAAAAAAAAAGTCCCCAACCCCCAAGCTAAAGATTTGAAATGACATAAATACTTAAGCAAATGTATCCTATACTGAGACACAGAAGGGAGGAGACATACATTCAAAGTGAATCTTACAGCAGTGCCATAGGCAAGACCCTTATGTTCACACCGAGCTTTGGATTTTTCCTTGTAATGTTTGTTTTTATTCATTTAAAACAAAAGAATATCGCCTGCTCTTACAGAACGGTGTGGTCGAGTGTCGCAGGATTTTCTGTCCTCTGGCAAACTGCTCAGAAGACTTGTTGCCTGTACATGTGGATGGAAATTGCTGCAAGACATGCAGACGTAAGTATAATGAGTAAGAACCAAGCCTGTGAACAGAAGTTAATTTTTCTGTTCATTTTGTAGTCACTATGACCCAAAATGAGTGACTACGACTCAGGAACAAAGTGTTTACAGAGGTCAAGAAAAAGAGCCATTTTTACATCGACATGTTAATTGGGTTCAAAATTTGGAAAAACTTGGCGTGATGCCCTGTATCTGCCACCTCTTTTAGGCTATAAGTGGCTGAGCAGTGCCTGATTTGCTTTGTTCATTTGTCACTTTTTGGAATGAGCTCTTCTTAGCTTGCTATCTTATGCTTTCGACACCATCTACACCATTACTTTTGAAGTGCCAAAGCAAGAGAAGATTTCTGGTGTTGCCTTTTTGCAGCAGTGTAACAATGTCACATTGCTTCTTGTTCTTTGCTAGAGAGAGACAACAATTGGCACAGTCACAAAATATAGCTTTTAGGTTAGATAAACTAGTGTTGTGCCTTAAAAAAATCCCCTTATTGACTCACTATTCACTGTAATGGATAGCTAAAGACTGACTCAGTAATAAGGGGCTAAATTTGAAAACCAATTGTTGCCTACTGGTCGCTTCAGTATCAGGCTGTGATGCTGATGCACTTGTAGCTATGGACTTTGTTAAGTTGCTTTTTCATGCTTTTTTGTTTTTTTACCAAAAGCTTTGGTGCTTGCTTCTAATAAGCAGTTTTGTAGCCATGATTGAAAGCAGCAAGGATTACTGCAGGTCTGTTTGAAAATATGATGTATTCACAGTGTTTACTTGGTCCAACCAACAACACAAACCTCGAAATTAGCAAAATCAGCTAAAGCAAAGCAGGAACTTTGTACATCTAAACCAGGGGTAGGGAACTCCAGGCCTCGAGAGCCGGTGTCCTGCAGGTTTTAGATATCACTCTGGGTCAACACACCTAAATCAAATGATGAGTTCATTACCAGGCCTCTGGAGAAGTTCAAGACATGTTGAGCAGGTAATTTGGCCATTTAAATCAGCTGTGTTGGATCAAGGACACATCTAAAACCTGCAGGACACCGGCTCTCGAGGCCTGGAGTTCCCTACCCCAGATCTAACCAGATAGATACAGTAGGTGCAACTTTTGTTTTTTTAATGTGTTGGGCTGGGCTGTTGTTTCTGGGCAATGTTCTTCTGACACAGTGAAATCAGAGTAAGCTATGGGCCGAGAGTGAATTCAATTCAATTCAATTTTATTTATATAGCGCCAAATCACAACATAAGTCGCCTCAAGGCGCTTCATAGATACAGAGAAAAAAACCCAACAATC